AACATATATAATATATATATATATTTTTTTTTTTATTAATTTTTTTTTTTTTTTCCCCAACTAGGGGAAGTAGTGAAGTGAAAGGCGTGCCTGGTCAAACAGGTTACAGACTGTATAAAAATGTGTACAGTATATGCAGATGCATGTACAGTCACACGCTTGAATACCTATCATATGTTGGTACAATGAATGTGATAGTGAAGTTGAAACTTTTAATTTAATAATGGAATAATTTTAATTACTCTAAAGTTCTAGCAATACTGAAAAAGTTGGCTGTACAGTCTGATTTAAATGTTACTGAAATGGATTAAATCCATTGTTAAATAAAACACCTGTTTATGAAACTGTGGGTATGTTTGTTAAGAGAATTGTCATAATGAGGTCATATTTGCAGCTAAAGGGCAAGAAAGAGAGGGACATTTCATTTTAGTCTGTTGGCAACAAGACCACAACACATTTTTTGACATAACTGTGTAGACCCACAACTAGAAAACATAAACAGATTCAAATTTATTCCTCTGATGATTCAATGTGTGCTCATTCAGGGTGTTTCGGTAACCTCACTTAGGATAAAAACTGGATATACATAAACTTGGAAGTTACGGTAAAAATTGAGAATTAACATTTTACAACAGAAAAAGCTTAGATATGTAACACAAAAATATATATTTAGGATTCTGTTTAATTTTTTAGATCTTGGGTTGAATCATTGCAAACAATACAATTTTTGTCCGTTTCATTGTGTCTTTTACTAAATCAGTGATCAGAAGAAGCTGAACTGAATTTGATCCATTCATTGAGAGTCTTGCCATCCTAAAGGCAGCCTGTTGCGGTAACTATGGCCATAATATGTATCTGATTTGTGAAACAATGTTCTGAGTTGGTCCGGATGCTTTGCTTCTGAACAATTTCTGTCAGTACTTCTGCCACTTTGTAACATCTGTTATAATAAGAAAGGTGTTTACAAGTGGGAGAAGCTAAATGAGTTTTCCAGTTTGGCTGGAATAAGACTCCAAATATTTAGGAGTGTACAAGGACAAGTCGGGTTTAAGCAAAAACTGAACCAGAAGAAGAAGTTTAGACTTGACTTTTCTTGGCTCTTATAGGGACTGTTGTGATCACTAGATGAAGTGAAAAGGTTAAAAAAAAATAGAAGCCATAGTAAAAATATTATGAATGCAGTATTTTACAAGTGTTTTACAGCAAGTTTTACAGGTGTTTAACAGCAGTACCATATTTCAGGTTTGAAAACATTTCTACCCAGCTTTCAGAGTTTATAGGCAGACAAACATTTCAAACAGGAAAGGCAGTACTTGGTAACAGTGTACAGTGTAAACCTGATACAGTGAACATACTTATGAGTTGGATATTGAGCAATTAGTTTCCATTTGTGTTGTCTGCCAAGAGAGTTCACCTGCACTGCCTGTCAAATGTGAAGCCATCAGTTCAGTTGTTGCCAGGTCACACACTCAACACCAAGACACAAAGTAATCGCTGATGATTTCAACAAAACACCTTTTACTGCTACTTTCCTATATTTTATCCACTGATTTTTAAAACCATTTTATATTTTTACTATTTTGCAATGTCTAATTTATACTGCAACTACCGGTAAATAATTTTCATCTAGTGATTGTTCAGGGGCAGCACGGTGGCGCAACTGGTAGAGCTGCTGCCTCTCAGCGCGCAGGTCCCTGGTTCAAATCCCGGTTTGGGTGGAGTTTGCATGTTCTCTCCGTGCATGCGTGGGTTTTTTCCGGGTACTCCGGTTTCCTCCCACAGACTAAAAACATGCATGTTAGGCTGATAGGTGACTCTAAATTGTCCCTAGGTGTGAGTGAGAGAGTGAATGGTGGTTTGTCTCGTTTGTCTCTATGTGTCCCTGTGATGGACTTGCGACCTGTCCAGGGTGTACCCCGCCCCTCGCACAGTGATTGCTGGACATGGGCACCGGCGACCCCCATGACCCAAAATGGAAGAAGCGGGTAAAAGATAATGGATGATTGTTCAGATATCACTACATTCAGTGGAGTTCAATGAATGATTTAAACATGCTGCAACTGGTTACATTAAAGCACAGGATTGCTTGCTATTTTTTATTTCAAAGTGGAAAAGAACGCATCAGAACTAACTCAGTGAGTCAAAAGTTGAATGTTTTTTCAAGCATATGAAAAATACTTGAGATATTTTCTCAATTTCTCATTGCCAAATCATCGTTGTGACAATGTTTTGAAGAAGGCATCGTATAACAAAATTGTATCTACCAGTAATCTTTTATAATCTAAAATATAATATATCCAGTGCAAGGTCAGTCAGACCAAAAGTGAGATTTCTAACAGAGGAATAGTCAGTAAAGAGACAAGAGAAAAATAATTTAACCCCCCACCCACACACTCCAGCTTGAATGCATTTTGTCTTTAAAAATGGACAGATTCAGAAAATATTCTGATATGCACACTCAAAATTTATAGACTCAGCTTTTGCTGGTAGTGTTAGCTTTAACAAATAAACTTAATATTCAAATTGAAAAGTAAGTATTATCTTTATTATTGGCATCAGGAATTTGAGGGGTTTTTAGGGATGGATCTGATTATTATGGATTATAGATGCACATAAAAGTAAAGTATACTTAAAATGCATAGTGAAGGAGACATATAATGGCTCACAATGCATACATCAAGTGTATTAGTACCACCCACTGTATGCCAAATTACAGTAATACAGTACACTTTGAACTAGAAAAGCAAAAAAGAATATTCAACGTATTTGTAGATACATTGTAGATAATTTGTCCTAAATGTTTTATTTTACTTTGAATCGACAGTGATAAAAATTTACTTGTGAAAATCGTATTACACTTTTGCAAACAGATTACAATAAATCTCACATTAAACATTTTAGCTATTTTTTTTAACAGTTTTAGTAAAATCTGCAGTACAGCAAATTGTGTTATGGTTTCATTACCAAGCAGCTGAGGAGACATCGATTATATGTACACACATGCACGCACGCATGCACACACACGGCTGGTGGAGCTCAGAAACACTGAGGCCATAAAGTTTGACATATGGAATGGTGAGTTAATCAAAGACTCCACACTCCCAGCTGGAGTCGACACATGGGAAAACATTTTGACATGCTTGAGAATGTTCTAAGGTTGTGTGTTATGCACGTGTGTTTGCGTGTGTGTGTGTGTGTGTGTGTGTGTGTGTGTGTGTGTGTGTGTGTG